CGATTGCCCTTTCTTCTCTGCCGTTTTGCTCCCTGTTACTCCAGCTCTCTACAAGGGGGAGCATGTGGTTGTCGCGGCGTTGTCTCGGAGCCAATTTTCTTGCGGTTGCATGAGCGTTGGACGGATCTTCTCTGAGGTGTGAGGATGCCGGGTGCCCTGAGCCGAGCCGTTTATGTTTTCTTGCGGCTATTTTTTTTTTGGAAAGTAGGGTTTTATTTATTTGTGTATTCCGCATGATTTCTCATATTTTTGCGCGTTGTGGTATTGCGTGAAGAGATTTCTCATCATCGAAGGAAAACGAGGGATTGAAGGAGGCGTCGGGGCAGAAACGAAAGTAAGGAGAGGGGAATTGTTGTTTTTATTTGAGGAAAATAAAGGTGGAACATGGAAAAAAGGATTAATGTTAATGTTCACTCACACGTGTTTCTGATTTTTTGGGTGGAGGGAAGACGGTGCACATCCGCGAGCTTAAAATTTTGTTGTGCTGATTGTGGGGATTGGGCCTTGCCGCCTCTTCTGTACCGCCGGTCGTCATAAATAATTTTCTTTACCCCTTCAGGAGAAGACTGTGGAGCCGGAAAGATCCGTCGACAAGACATGTTGGAGGTTATGTAGGGGCCACCTCTCTGTGTGTTTCTCTGTTTTTCTTCCCTGAATTGGGGCTTCCTCACCGTCACTCCTCCGTAACTCCCTCTTTGTTGCTCGCAGAAACACACAAGCAGCACCTTCATTAAAGAGCTTGTTGAAAAGCTGAACCGGTTAGAAGACTTGCACACACACGGGGAGACCCGTATCCACTCTGGCGTACATACAATGAGCAACTCCAATTTTGATGAACTCCAGGGAGAGCAGTTTGATGGCCGACACTCCAACTCGAGGAAGACTAATGACCCCCTCGCAAATCGGTTGCTTGCTGCTCTCACCGCGGATGAGGAAAAATCGGAGTTGATGCTGACTGTCCTTCAAAATATTTTGAATTCCAATGATCTGGCACTTGTAAAAAAGGTCGCATTGCCCAAGAAGCGTGTGAATCTCTCCTCGCTGGGGATGCTTGGATTTGGCATTTCAACCATTCTTCTTCAATCCCGTAATGCCGGAATATTTGAGCTGGGCTCTGTGATTCCTGCGATGGGTCTGGTCATGGGCGGCGGGATGCAGCTCTTCGTTGGACTTTTGGAATACTTTGATGGAAACGCGTTTTCTGCGATATCTTTCCTAAGTTATGGCGCCTTTTGGCTTTCACTTGTGGGTACATGGCTTTTGCCACACACCGAAGAGAACGCGCTTGTGGTGAAAACAGAGGGGTCGTTGATGGGCTTATATTCTTTATTATGGGGTTTCCACACCGTATGTATGGGTTTTGTTGCCTTTTTGAGGTCGCATCGCGTAATGCAGTTCCTTTTTACCTCGATGGCGCTCCTGTTCTTTCTTCTTGCCGCCGGTGACTTTTCTGGGAAGAAGGAGGTGACGCAGGCAGCTGGCTATGTGGGGATTGCTTGTGGATCTAGTGGACTTTACATTGCTTTTGCGGAGGCCCTTGAGGAGAGTCTTGGGTATCCTGTTCTCCCCCTCTTTCATGTAAAGCGAAATTAAATTTTTGCCCAGTGAAAATAGTGTTTATGGTAGCGGAGCGGCGATATGCAACAACAAAAAAAGAAAAGAAAAAGAAATAAAGAATAAAATTGAGAATGCCTACGGGAAGAGGTGGAATTGTTTCGAATAAATGGGGATATTGGCGTTAATTATTTAGCTTCGTGAAGATTTTTGCTTTGGAAAGGGCACAAAAAGGGAAAATGGGTCTTTGAATGGTTTTGGTACTTACATGCTTTTTACCAGTGATAGAGGTCATTTTTTTGTGGTGTACAGTGCAAACTCACAGGTTTTGGGCTGCCCCACTCATGCGTATTCCCATCCATGAGCGCGTGCACACCTTTCTTTTTTTTCATTTTGCTTTTTGGCTGATTGAGGAAGGAATGGGGATTTTATAGATTTTTCTTTCTGAGTGCTTGTTCTGCTCGTTGCCCGTCTGGGCGGCTGTTGTTTGTGTGATATCCCTGACCCTTCCTTGCGGGTTGGAATTGCCCGGGTGTGGGAGCCTGTCATTTCTGAAAGGACATCATTGCGGACTTGATGACAGGTCTCGGAGGCGCCTGCAGCCTCTAATTACCGGCGAGCCCTGTAGGCAAGAAAGTGAGAGTTGGGTATCGCGACCATATGGGAGACAAACAGCTGCGAAAGACCGTCGGTTCTAGTTGGGCGACAAGAGAGCCAGATTTGTGGTAGCCAAACGATTTTTAATGTGTTGCTGCTGGCGGCATCAAGCCATTTGTTTTGGGAATAGAAGGCGCCCTCTTGCGCTTGCACACGGCGGGACGCGAGGCGGAAGTTCCCGCACAAAGTCGACTTGTTTGTCCTCCATGAGCATGAAGCACCTGCGGTTTCCCACCCATCCACAACCCTGTTTTGTGCCAGAGCCGTGTGAATTCTTCGCCTTCATGGCTGGCCCCAAATAAAAGAAGAGTGGGACAAATATGGCCCGAAACGAGGGGAAAAAGGCGGAATGTATGAATTGTTGAGGTTCGACGCATTTGGGGGGGTGCCGGCTGCTCTCGCTATTGATTCATCTACCGCTTTACTGCTCTGCGTTTCTTTTTCATTTATCCCATTATTCACTATTGTTACTTGCTGTCTCTTGCATTGTTTTTGCCATTGTACTGCCTTTTCCTTTTTTCTGTGTGTGTTTGCATTTCATCATTATTCTCCCACTCACGGGCAGTACGGTAATTCAAGACTCCCGCACACGCCACTGTGCACGTCGTGGTGGGTAAGAAATACTCTGACAGCCTCCAAAACAAACGTACACACAATAACACAGACAGTGCCCTGCAGGAAACTCTTGGCGGCTGGACGACGGTGACTGTGCGTCCCGTGGCCTCCATGCAGACATGGTGAGGACGCTGCGTGCCCGCCGGTGGTGGGAATCACGGTGCCATTGGATGGATGCGTGTGGGAAATTTTTTGCATTGTGTCAGAGGACGGCTGACGCGGCACGCACGACGCCTGCCGTGCGTGAGGGTGTTGCCTGCTCATGGAGTCATTTTCCTCTCCCCTGTGTCGTTGAATTGCTGGGTGCGGGCGTCGCACGGCGTGCTGGTACGCGACGGACGTTGCCACAGTGGTCTCCTCATGCGGTGTCGGTCCCTGCTATCAGCACACACCCACACACCTTTTCTTGCCCCTCCGTGTAAGTGTTTGTAGCGATGGTGTGGCTCACTGCAGCTGCTGTTAGTGTTATTATTTTTAAAAAGGGTCGGAGTGGGGAGCTTCTCTCTTTGCACTTGAAGAAAGACAGCGGAATGCTGTCACACAATTTTATCCGTGTGTGACTTGCTGAGATTGATTTGGTAAGGTAATTTTAATGGTTTGGAGGGAATTGGGACAAACGTGTCTTGGAGCTGCTGTTTTTTAACTGCCGAAGTCGCTGATTTGTGCCGAAATGCCTTCAGCAGTCCTGTGCTCACGGCTTGTGTTGTTCGATACTGGTCCGTTATCGTATCCCACGGACAATGGGCGAAAGGGTGTTTTGGGAGGTGAATGCCACAGTTAATGGTGCAGCCGAGAGGATTGCCGATGTCGTGACGTTCCAATGACCTGGAGCAGGGGCTGAGCGGCTTGTCGGCAAACACTGGCCGGATCAGCTCTGCGACGCTGCAAACAACATCTTCAATGTACTGGCGACGGTGACTATTCACTGGGGTTCTGGGGAAGCGACTGTAACTTTTTATTGTTCCACACCCGAAGAACGATGATGAAGAGATAGGGCTTTTTGTACTGTATTGGGATGCTGACAACGGCAGGGGAGCAGAAATTGCGTTAATATTGCGAGGATGTGCAGGGGGTGCGTGTGGGGGACGACCGAAATACGATTTATTGCTTCTTGCAGTATCAAAGCCCGCTCCTTTGTTTCATTTTTTGGTGTGTTTGTCTGTTAGCACACCCTTGTTCGGAGAATGCCACCTGAGTGGAGGAAATGACGTAGCCTGGGCCTCACTTTATTTTCTATTTTATGCCTTTTGTTTGTTAGAGCCCGCGGCTGAATTGGACAAGACGGAGATGCTGCTAACGCACGAAGGTGGGGGATGGTGCTGCGGCCGCCACGATGTGAGATTACTTTTCTGTATTTTTGTCCTGCCATGTTCTTTGATGCTTCGTTCACCCCTTACTTATTTTTCCTGTTCCTTTTATTTGCAGACAAGGCCTTTGCCACCACGATTGTGGTAAATTAGTACAAACAAAATTATTTACATCATGCACTGGCCACGCCACGCTGCTCCACGCATCTATGCATTCGACGAGATGGGGCAGAGGAGAGGCACGTCACCGGCTCCGGTGCTGCATTAGGTGTTTTGTGGCGTTGGCGAGGCGAGGCTGGGGTAACTTTGCCGCGGAGGTTTTTTTTCTTTTTATCCGTTGGTCAGCCCGTCACGCCTGGCTCGGTCTAGTTGAAGGAAGGCGGCAGTATCGTGAGTCCCAATTAAAAGGTCTGCGCCATCACCACTAACGGCTGCAGTCTTGTTTCACCCATCCCCACAGAAGACGGCAATGATGGCAGCGTGGTGACTGTTTTTAAGAGGCATCTCATTCTGACCGTCCTTGCCGCCACTGCCGTGGTGGTGGTGTCCGTTTGAACTGCATTGGTGGATTATGCACTGTCACAGAGATAGCCACTACGGTGTGTCTCATGTGGTTTGCATGTCTCGCCTCACGTTTCGGACGGACACTAATGGCAAAGCACACACATTGATTTTTTTGTTTGTGAAAACCCACGGGAGGAATTATTAGCGTCCAGACGAGGATGGATAAATGCGGGAGCCGCTTGTGCATCTGTCCTGTTTTTTCACATGTTGACTGAATGGTTTTGTGCGTGAGTGCGCTGGAAGTTGACGAGAGCGATTGCCATTTCTTCTCTGCCGTTCTGCTTCCTGTTTCTCCAGCTCTCTACAAGGGGGAGCATGTGGTTGTCGCGGCGTTGTCTCGGAGCCAATTTTCTTGCGGTTGCATGAGCGTTGGACGGATCTTCTCTGAGGTGTGAGGATGCCGGGTGCCCTGAGCCGAGCCGTTTATGTTTTCTTGCGGCTATTTTCTTTTTGGAGGTGGGGAGTAGGGCCCTATTCAGGCACGTGTTTTTGTTTCGTTGCCACTATTTTGTTACTTTTCTTTTTGTCTAGCCTACTTATATATTCGGCCATCAAGGGTGATATTTGCGCCCCCCATGCACGTTGTGGTCGGCGGAGGATATGTTGATGGTCTTCAAAACGCACCCGCAGAAGCACACACCACTTAAATGCATTTGTTATTCCTGGAAGGCAAAAAAAGAAAATAAATAAATAAATAACCGATATGGGAGAATAATATTGTGAAGAATTTTTTAACCGTATTTGTTTTGTAAGGGAAGCTAGCAAGCAATGGAATTCGAAGAAGAAAGAAAAGAAAAAAAAAAAAAAAAAAGAAAAGAGTTACCGTTGAGCGAACATATCTGTTGCGATAAATTTTTTTTTATTTTCTTTCTGGTTGCCGTTTGATTTTCTGTTGTTGTTGATTGTGTTCGTTGTATATAATTATGTATTAATTTTAAAAGCTGTAGATATTATTTGCAATTTTCTCTTCTGAGTGTTATTATTATTATTATTATTATTGTGGCTGTTTCAATAGGCTTTCCCACAATGCGGTCAATGTTTTTTTTAATTTATTTATGTCTTTGAGTTTAATTGAGTGATTTTTTAAGTGGCCCATTGGTGGATTTCATTGTTTTCTTCCCATTATTTTATTACATTTCATGATGGTTGTGATGCCTAATTTTTTTTTTTTCTCTTCTTTTTTGTGGAGGGGGAGGTCTCTGCGTACTTGCCGGTGTGGGAGGCAGAAGAAAATGTTCCGGAGCATCTCTCGTTTATTTCTTTTTAATTTTTTTTTTGTCTGTTTGCCAAGTGCCGCGGAATGAGACCGGCATGTTGTTTTTAATGGATGCTGCGCTTTTTGTTTTTGTTGGGCCCGACCTTACTTTATTTGTTTATTTTATTTTTTATTTTTTTTTCTCTGTCGACGGTGTTTTGACGCAGACCGCGTAAAACAAAGAGTCTCACGCATGAGTGTTGTGCCGGGAGTGAGGGGGACCGGCGTCGAGGAGACGAGGGAGTCTTCTTTTTTGCAGGAGCTCGGTGAAGGGCCGAGGTGTACCGCGGCAGCGCCGGCCCGACTCCGAGGAGACCCGTGGCGGTACTTGGTGGGAATAACCTTCTGCCTTCTATCCATATCGAATGCCATGCAGTGGATTACATTCGGCGCCATTGTGGATGAGGTTCGCCTGTACTTCAACATGGGTTCTGTGCAGGTGAACCATCTTGCCACCACGTACGTCATTGCGTACGTATCTATTGTGTTCTTAAGCTGCAAACTCTACGAGTTAACGGGGCTGAAGGTTGGAATTGTGATTG